ATTTTCATCGTGTTTTTGATCTCTTATACTCATGTGAATTCACCTTTTGAGAAACATGACTAAAATGTAAAACTGTATTCAATTACATACACCACAAATAGTAACGTAGCCCCAGCTATACAACGCACGTGCAAAAGTATGATGATTCTTTACATTAAGTACCGGTAATGGTGGCTGCCATAGACTAAAGTGCAGTGATCTGTGTATTTTTATAGATATTAACAAAAAGATTACTATTGCCTCTTTCAAGACTTTTTTCCATTCGGAGTTGGAATTTTTGAAGGAAACGAGTTTCGTGCAATAGTGGATTTAGAAACCAATTTCAGCACAGAAGTGTGACATTACCAGTACCGACAGCATAAATAGTCTGCGCGTAGCAGTTCTTAGCATTGCACCATAGGCCTACACTTGCTTACGACCGTAGGTGTTTTTATACTTCACCAAACCCTCAATAAGAGCAATAAACATCTTTGAAACTTAACAATTCACAGTGATTCCTGGGCAGCGGGGCTGCCTCAGTGATAGCCAAATATAGAAACTCAAATACTCAAGCGAATGCACTCTGAATAATGCATGTACACAGCCTATATGGTCCTATCTTTGGTGCTTTAACAGCAAGAACCCCAGTCACTGTAGACTCCCTGCTTGCACTGCATGTCGCAATGCCCTGACGAAAATGGAATTTCAGCCGAGAAAATATCAAGGGTAGCCGGACTTTCGAACCGAAAACGGTACACGAACACAAAGTTTTGCCAGACGAATCTGTTTCCTTGGCTATCTCCATCAAACTGCGCGGAGGTATTGCAGTGTCTCGCTTTTAAGTTTGTGCGGTTATGGACGGTATCACCAACCGGCTTCAGCCTTCGACGGATAGACGAAAGTTCAAGTTGAACTTATTAAAAACAGAATGTCTACTACATGCTTTCGACAATGCAATGCATGGTACTCACACTTATTGGCTGAGTGCTTGCAAAGCTTGTTGGCCTTCTGTTCTCACTCTCACAGAGTAAACAACTTCATGCATTTTGAGTTGTAGCCAGACGACTTGATGGTCTCTCTTCTGTCTCCAAATTGCAGTTGCAGGAGTGGTTATGCGCATGCACCGAGTTGCGTAGGCAACAGGTTTGTCTGCTGCCACCACGAGTTCGAACCCCCCGTGTTGTTTCGATTTGGTAATAATCGATGACCATTACGAGTATCCCCAACATACCGGTATTTTCACTGGGACACGTAGGTTCATTCTTTTCATCATAATATAATTAGGTAATTGGCCTTCCTAAACGAATCACTGTCTTTCCCTTCGAGGTGTTCAAAGCAGAAATGACCCAACTACGATAATTAGCAAATCATCACGTTTAATTTCCACAAACCGGCATTCTGTGACGTAAAGTTTATCACATCAGCAATGATTTACAGAATAACTCCTGTGTGTCGTTATTAAATAGGAGGTTAAAGGTTGTTATCACAGACTTCATTCTAAAGGTTAGAGACTTTGCCATCCTCTTGTTGTTACATGAACCAAGCAATCTGCACGCAGTTTTAATAATAACCGCCTTCCTTTTTCAGTAGTAAAATAGTGCATGTCAACTTCTTTACATGTTCGTAACTCGCCAATTCATCTAAGTGAACAGCTCGGACATCGATCTCCGACAGTGCCTAGTAACCAGAGCATTTTTTTGTTGTTGTGTCTGGAATGAAACCGGGATAGATTGCGTCACAACAGTCAGACAGATTGAAGGGTTTGCTTCAGAGCTTTTATAGAACAAAGAGGTGAATCTTGTTTGAGTGCTTGCACTTTTGCTTCATGGTTCATCGCTCCGTTCCCCTATAAAATATTTTTGAATTCCCATATAGACTTACCTGCAGGGCGTCTAATGGATCCTAAAAGCTCTGTACTTGCTTTTTGTCACGGTTCATGGAGCCTCAATCGAGCTGTGGCCGCGTTCGGAATGGAGACTGTGTATACCTTGTCCTTTAAAGCTGACTGCCTCCGGTTAGTACGTGTATATCGCACGATGACTTGAGGTTTTAATAAAAAAAATTGCCCGACGAGCAGATTATAGTAATTCACGCTTTTCTTGATCACCAGCAGGGATTTTGCTTTGCAGCTTTAAACCGAGGTTTGATTGGTGTGAAGCCCAAGGAAAAAAATGTTGAATGCAGCTTATCTGCGGACTCTTGAAAATCGAGACGGAGTTGTTCCAGATCTGCGGTCCAAATCATGGGCAATCTCGGTGGCAGGGTTTGCACGCGCAAGCCTTCCCTGTCCCACAACGATGCACCAGCTCATCAGAAAGCTTGGTCACGAACTGCCCTAGCGAAGCCTGGCATTTATCACCATGGGCAAAGAAATATCCAAGGCAAGAACACGCATCGCAACACAACTACACCAGCCACACACGCCGAATCAAAACCCACCAAATAGCGCCAACTCCCCCAGAATCGATGACGTCATATTGATTTTTGGCGGCACTATTTTGACGCCCGTGACGGCAACGGAAGTCGCAGCCTTCGAGGGGCGCAGCGCGGACGGCAATGGGTGAATTGACGAGAGTCGCCCCGCCAAATAGCCAGGAAATTTGGAGAAGGGATTACCACGAGGGCCTTCGCCTTCATTTAATAGTTGCCGAATCGGCTCAACAGTATTTTAATTTAATGCACATCCTGTGGCTAAAAATTGGATAATGGTAATTAATTACTAGGAAATTTCTTGATCAGCAATGTGAACATGATGATGAACAAATTATACGTGGCTTATCACACGGTTTGGTAGTGGTGCACGTGACATAGCTTTTAAAGGTGAATGGCCATTTTTAAGTATGAGCACCTGTACAATGCACAATTTACAATTTTAATAATACGCAAAAAGGCAGGCTGCAATTCGGTCGAGTGGTCAGCTTTTTAAAGCTCCTGCTTGATGTGCATTTTTTAGGTAACTGCGGCGTTAACTCATCAACTGGTTTATTTTACATTACCTCAAAATATTCTTTAGGCCCTGTCTCTTTTAAAGGGACCACCCACTCAACGCCTCCCGTCTAATGATCTAGCGAATGGAGCTTTTCAACAAAATCACGCTAGTCCGCCGTTCATTCTTGCTGCCATCGACGTGATCGAGCCAACGCTTGCGCGGTGTTGAAACTGAAGAGCGCCGTTTTATTGAACCGCGCGGGCGAGAAAGAAAAGCCAGCATTCGGCCGGATTCCGGTCCAGGTGGAAACCGTCTGATGAAGGGTCGAAACAGGGGTGCGGAATAGAGATCGAGGTGAACGCGTGCTGACATTGCACACGGTGGAGATGGGAAAGGGCTTGCTTGTGAGGTAAATACTGTGATCGTACTATAGACATGACGGGTTAGACCTATCGGGATGCAGTCGACCAGACAGATGCTAGGTTGTTGCGCATACAGTTCTAGTATAGTTTCTTGCGAGCAAGGATACTTTAAAGTAGTTTGTTACACATGTACGTAGTCTTTTCCTCACGCGACTGCAGCCAAACTCGGAGTCCTTTTTCGTCATTAGTGTTCTATTATTGCTATCATTAATTACCCTTATGTGCACTATATCGAATTGGTTCAGTTTGACAAATTCATAAATAGGACTATAAGCAGAGCAAAAAGCAATGGCCAGCAAGATGGCATCTATGCAAGCCCTCTGTAAGACGCAGCCTCGGTGTCAGAAGCCAACACAAATCATTTCGATGAGTCATTTGCATTTTTGGGAAGGAAACAGATGCACAAAAACCAGCAAATCGCCGATAAATTCTTGATGAACAGGAAAGCTACATGTTCATGCGTAAACCTACCTTAAACCCCCTTTGTATGAACTCATCATTTTTGTAATGCGGAAATCAATTGTCCTGTTTTGTTTGAAGATGAGCAATAAACGAAGCCTCATGGCTTCAAGAGGGGAAAAACATGAACAGAACTTGGAATTCTCTGAAGAGTTCAATGGAAAACAGGTGATCAATATTTCTGCAAGACAAGAAAGCAAGATTCCCTCTTAAAGCTCAGGCTCTCACGGAGGGACTATCATTGCAACAGTTTCGACGTGTCTTACTCGTTGGATTTGAAATACCGAGACGGAGCCAGATAGGGCTAGGCTAGGGTGGAGTAGTTGTCAAAGGGGAGGGGGTTAATAGGCGTGTATGTTTTTTGTTTTTAACTCTCTCCGTTTTAACCCCAACCTCAGATAATCTGCCAATGAAAAAATAACAGAAAAACCAGGACACCGTTTTTCAATTTCCTCGATGAATTCATGGAAGTCGACGGCTGTAAATAATTAAACGCTAATTGCCCTGTGATCCCAGGTGATTTTTGCTACTTAAACTAATGTTTGCTCGCAGGCACTACTCTCCAAGTCGCAGTAGAAACAGCATTTAGTTTGTTTTGGCGGGCAAAAGCCGTCAGGGCGGGTAATGAACAAGCAATCTAAACACTGAGAAAGACCCCTTTGCTCTTAAAGCAGACGAGGCGTGTTTTCTTTTGTCTTAGCGAAACATCGACTGGCACACGGTCACCCTGAAGGAATTTAATCTCTCGCGAAGTCAAATTTCTCCTCGAAGATTTCCTCGCAGATATAGGACAGAGGCTTCATACGCGGGTAGCAAAACGTCCCTCTCGTGCATTCAAATTTACCCGCATTTCCACAGCCAAACAAAATTACTATTGGAATTTTTGTCTCTTTTACAATCGTCTGTTTTCAAACCGAATTTGGAAATAAGTTTCATTTTTAAGTTTTCATGTTAACGATTTAGGGGCTCGTTTCAACACTGCCCCCGAATTACAACTGCGAGGAGATTTGGAAAATACGCCATTGCTTAAACAAACAGCGTTGGCATGTCCAATTGGCATGCCCAAGACTTCAAACAGCTTACTTTTGTGTTACTTTTTGAATACAATATAACCTCGGATTTATTTCCTGTATTGTACTCTTATATTACGATTATATCCAATCACTCTCTCGTTCAGAAAACAGAAGTATCGCAAAGTATAACAAAACAGATTATATTTGGAAAAATAGCATATCATTTTATTACTTTATTCAAATTCTGAAGAGTGACTTTAGATGTTGAAACGGAGGTCGGTTACGTTGTTTGAAATCACGGAATAATTTGTCAACACAGTCAAACTCCGATTTTTAACTAAGCAATAGTAATGATTGTTCGCAAAATTCCAAGATATCATGGTTATGGTTCCTGTTTCGTCTTTGTTTGGGGGTCCAAAATATTGCCCAAATAATGTTACCCTTTAAGATACAAACCCTTTTCGATAATTCAAAAATGCAAACTGAATTGAGTAATTGGTTACTCTTTCACCAGTGCAATGTATTAAGCACAATGCACCTCAGGCTACAGCCCATCAATCGACATCTCCCGAACACAAAGAGTTCATTACCTGGGTACTTATTTTGCACTTTTGAATGACTTAGGGGTGCACTTTAAAATAGACTTGAAATCATCTCAGAAACTGACAGTGTTTAATTGCCCACTAAACCCTGTACTCCGTTGTATGACAGCAGTGGTTCATTTATAAATAAATGCAGCCAGGCTGTTTTGTTGACGGCACTAACAAAAACATGAATGTCTAATAACTGTCCCTCAAGTCTACTTTAAAGAATGCCATTTAAACGTGACAGAAAATTTTAAGGATTTTGAAAAATAATACTGTGATCTAATTGAATCTGTCGGTTGAGGTAAGCCACAAATCACATTGCCTGTGACACCATGCATTACTATGATGCCAAAAAAACCAATGCAAATTGGTTAATGTGGCTTTTGGGCCTCCTGATCTTTCTTGAGTTTGGCCAAAGCCGTCAGCCTGGTGTCGCGCCACTGCCGGATCTCTTGGAGTTTGTCCAGTGGGTAGTGGGCATCAGTGTCCCTCACAATGGCATCGTAGGCCGGACCAGTGAATTGCGGAAGCGGTCCAAATGTTGACGTTACGCGATGTATGGTGGAGCCGTAACGCTCCAGATAGCTGGCAGTACCTTGGAAGAATTCAAATTTTGAAAGAGGACTCTTAGTTCAATACAGATCTCAAAAAATGAGAGTTGAGGCATCACTAAAGAAAACTGTTCAGTCTTTCTATTTGAAGTTTGGCAAGTTGACTAGAGGGGAATTGGAACCTGCAGTATTTGGGAAACGATAGAGATGTGCAACCAACTTCTGGCTATCAAGCCCTCTATTATCAGCTTTCGCTGTTCGTCTGTGTTCCAGGGGTGCCAATTGGAAGCCACTGAATCATGTTTGAAAGGGGTGAACCTGGTTAGCATCTCTCTGTGGCCTGTCCAACAAATACAATTTTAGGTCTCGAGAAGAAACAAGTATTCATTAACTATACCTTCAGCATTGAGATGAATGACTTCAAATGGTCCACAGAAAGCGTAGCGCATTCCCAATCCCGCAGTGAAAACTTTGTCCACATCTTCGACCGACATTACTCCATCCTGAGGTAAAAATTAGCAGGAAAAGAACAAGCCAATGTTAAGAAGGGACTGAGTCATATAAATTTGAAAATCAGACGACGTCTGGAAGATTCAAAGCGGTTGACCAAGATATTCATGAAAGTCTTCTGCTGTTTGAAATCATTATAAGGCCAGTCACAAGTCCTTTCACAATTTCAGGGTCACAAGTCCCTTAACAAGATCAGTTGCGAGTATCTTCATGTGGCCAATTTAATACAAGTCCCTCCGTAAGGCTAGCTATGAGTCCCTTCGTAAGACCAGTCACAAGTCCCTTCGTAAGACTAGTTGCGAGTCCCTTCACGAGACCAGTCACAAATCTCTGCATTACAAGCAACAGGGTGAACAAAGACAAAGAGTCGCTTTTGTCACGGTTTCCTTGAATAGCTTTTGACTTGAATGGATGGCTTGCGTTGAACTTCTGATCAAACTGTAAGGCCATGTGGAGACTTGTGGTCAACTTGACTCTAACAGAGTCTTGGAATATGCTGACTGCAACAAGCACTCCTTACCGCAACCAGCCTCCAGGCTTCATTGACGATGGCGTACTGCATTCGATTCAGTGCAAAGCCGTCAATCTCTTTTTTCACCGTCACTGGTACTTGGCCCACTTCCTCCAGCAAGGCCCGGGTGCGCGAGACGATGGCCTGCTCTGTCCAAGGACTAGGGACAATCTCAACAAGAGGGCAGTAGTAAGGTGGATTGACCTATTAGAAAAAAGTTCAGAAGATCCCAAAGTGACAAGTGCAAGGACATGATGGCTTGGCTCATCACTTGACAAATCATGCATTGACCACAAGATGTTAGCTTGCAGCAGGGCCAGCATGAGGGAGACTATGGACTACTCTGTCCAGGAATTAGGGACGATCTAAACAAAAGGGCAGTAGAAGGGAGAGTTAGTCTACAGAGAAAAAATTAGGAATACCTTTAAAGGCCTGGGAAACAACACTCAAGTACTAAGAGGCCACTCAAACTCGGGTGTAAAAATTAATGGCTAAAAGGTTGATGTGATGGAGCTTTAGTGCACATTAAAATACATGACAGCTACAGAGATGGCAGGGTTTCTCCTGGGGTACTGAAAATGTGTGAGATAGCAAAACAAATTTTGCCAAACTTCTAGCGCTCAAAACAAAAGTGAGAATTTTTGAAAGGCCTCACATGAATTCTACATAGTTTAATGGTACACTTACTCCAACTTACCCTTCTAAAATAAATGGATCTTGTATTCTGTGTCCATTTTTACCATTCTGAACGATTTAAAACTAATCTACTTCAAAATATCTAAGTTGCTTTTCTTTTTTTCCTTCCATCTTTGTCTACATGTATTTTTACTGTGAGGTGGTAAATTCAACAGAAAAGCCTGAGGTGGTCACTAAAATTGGTGAGGTGGGCCGCCTCATGGTGGCATAGGCAGGGGAAACCCCGACAGATAGTCCTGTCCTGTCGTTAGGCTACAGAAATGGCTCCACAATTTTTCCGTCACACTGTGGCATAAATCGAAATTTGAGCAGCATGCCTTTCTCAACAGCTGGCTTTCCCCTTTCCCAAATGCCCCCCAAATGCTGCAATAGCATGGAGACTGTGACAGTACCTTGTAGGAACAACATGAGGTTTAGATACTCATAAGACTGGTGCAGAAATGGTAACTTTTGTCACATGCAATGACATACTCTGTATTTAAATGGTCCAGCGTGTCACGCTGGGCCACATTCAAATCTTAGCAAGTGTTCAAAAATACAAATGCTATCCTTTTGGACCAATAAAAAAACCTTATCTTTATCTCTTTGGCACTTATCCTTTATGTTTTCCATCTCTTTTTTTCTGAGCAAGAACTCTCAAAAAGCTACTAAACCCCTAAAACTGTGGGCAGAGGTGCGGGGTGGGGGAACGGTTGGAGAGAATCATCCCTCGCGTTTTTGCCGACAGCCACAAGCAGAGAGAGAGATGTCTCGTACAGACTTCAATGCATATTTTGCAAAGGTGCATTGTGTGACCTTCTACAAGCTTACCGGATGGGCCACAATGCACTGGCCGCGCCGACTGAGATGCGCAAAGATTTTGGACGGCACGATGCAGGAGACGGAACTGCAGAGGACGGTCTCGTCACTAGCATGCTGCTCCACCTCGCTGAAGACTTTCTTCTTCAACTCCTCATTCTCAGGCACACATTCCTGTCGAGGCACGGAAAAAAAAAATCATGGGTTGGGGGGATCGTCCCATCCGATGCGATGGCCCAGCTGCAGCATCTGTCTCAGTCATAGATGAAATGGTCCGAACGATGGTGCTGCACTTGGGCCGGCCCATGTTGTGAAGCGTGTGAGCGTGTGCAAGAGCATGTGCTGTCTCATTCCATCTGTACTGGCCACACTTGTTGGCAGAAAGTAGTGTTTGTTTGTGTCAAAGATGAAATGTCCAATTGGCATGAGTCTGAAGAATAATCTTTGCTGGAAGCGGCAAAACCTGGAAAAAGTGGCAATATATTCACCAGATTTTTGCCGACTATAGTTGGGCTAGCCGAAATGCAAAACTACCGTTTTGACTGTCCCAATTGTATTTGGGACTGATGTGTACATGTAGTTTGGGGCTTAATATAAACAACTTTACAATCTTTTTATTGGGTATGCTTCATGATCGATTGTTTTTGTGCAAGTTGAGGAAAAGAAAAAGTCTTGTCCCAAATGCAAGACTGTTAGCAAAATTCTGAAAGCTTTGCCAAATGCGTACATGTATGTTGGATGGCAATGTCTGTTGGCAGCCGTGGGCAAGGAGGGTTTTCGCATCCACCCCTTCACTCAACCTGCTATAACTTGATTAACCATCCAAAGCTGCCCAATCTGTGGCCAGGAGTACTGGGATGTTGGCAAACAGCTCAAAGCTGTGACCAGCTTCATGCAGTTTTGTTAGAATTACGAACTTGCACATGTAGGGAACCTGTGACAGCCTCCTTCAGGTCACTGGTCACGCTGATCAGCGCCTTCTGTTGTTCGGGGGTCAGCGTACCCCTCAGCAGACCCGATTTCTGGAGCTCGGCGAGCTGATTGGAAATGTCTACCATGGCACCAGTCAGCTGAGGAATAAACACAATTTAACCTTTGACCTCTGACACCGCTACTCACAGTTAATGAAGTAGTTTGTTATTTCAATAGTGCATGCCCAAAAGAAGTGAGTCCTAGGTCCCATGAGAACAGCACTATGCTTGCATGAGGTCTGCCCTTACAGCACACCCACTTGCACAAGCAAATGCTTTAGGCTTGAAGGCCTTGCCTTTCTGAAATCACAAATTGACTACTTGGAATGTTGCTGTGGAGTCAATTTAAGTAATTTCTAAAGCTCTGTTTCAAGTCCTTTCAAAAGATCAGTCCCGAGCAACAGAGTGAACAATGACAAACAAATCCTTTTTTTTTTTTACATTTCGTGAGTAGTTTTGACTTGACTTTGAGACTAGATGACTTGACAAGGCCTGATAGGAACTTGTCACGGGCTTGACTACAAGCTATGACATATTATAAAAGGAATGTATCAAATAATTAGGATTTGTTTTAGAATGAAACTACATGTAAGCCGAAAGGTAGGGGTGGAGTGAAGGGAACTCACCTGTGACTCTTTGACGTCAAATATTGTGACGCGGTATCCGGCGCTGACAAATATCATGGCCCAACTTCGTCCAATCAGGCCACTTCAATAGGATCAGGAAAAATAGAAAAGCTTGACAGAATGGAAAAGAGGCATCCTACACAATGTAGCCAAGAGGTCACGGACCCAAGTTCCGCTCCAAAGTCTGTGAAGTTTATCCTAAAACTCACACCCACAGGGTCTTACAGAGCATTAGATCACGTATATGTATGTAAGTGCTTTGCCACGCTGAAAAATCGAAATTCTGTATTGCAGTGTTAATTCCTGTCAACCTGAACCCCCTAGGGCGCGTATTAACTTATGTTAAAATTGGGGGATTGAGGACTGTTGCAGTTCAGGAGACAATCCTCTGAATGATAGACCGATTGAGCCTGCTAGAGTCATGTGACCTACATGTACATATAGAGCAAAGCAACAGTGTGTTTAACTGATTATTTACCAAAAATAGGGATGATGGTCCCAGTACAGTACCCAAGCTACTATATGCCACGTACTATAGGCCCTACTGACAGGTGGCTTAATGCACAATTTGCTGTGGGAGAATGCCATGTTTGTTGATGTCTGGTGTAAACCCACTGCAGGTAACGTGACTCAGCGGATGCAATCGGTCTACTGCTGTAAGGATTCTTGGAGTTGAGGTCTGGAAATTGATTTGTGGCTCTGATCTTACGAAAGGTTCTTCAGTGAGGGCTTAATGAAGTTACTGTCAAGGACAAGGTTGCCTGGTCAATTCCTCACCCATCCTGAGGATAACAAATGTTCAATGCAGAGAGAACTGTTGGACTATCGAATAGTTTTAAATGTCATTATTAAAACACCGAGAAGTTTTAAAGGGGGCACCTGATAATTTTAGGGGGATTGAGGAAAGGCAATTCATCGGAACCAAGGAGGAATAGTTTTTACAAGTGTTCACATGATTATGGTGGTACATGTAATTAAGATGCAGAAATTGTTCCATTCAACTTTTACACACCTTCCAATAATTCCAATCTTTCCTCTTCCTTGCTGAGTAGATGACATTGTTGTTAACTGTAAAGATGCTGTTCTGAGCTGAAGATTCATAAACTAAGACAGACATGAAATATCAGCCGATTAGATAGGCCTAAAATGATCAGATTTTCAATCTGGCCAATGCCATTACCGCCGACCATGCCCAAATGTGAAAGAGGCAATTTGTAGAGTCCTACTATGACACACATGAGCTACACTCTGAGCCCAGTAATTCCTAACAGTAACACTGTGTTAGATTACATAACATACTCGTACAATATACATGTGATGATGTCACACGTTTTTCCTTCTTCATCTTAGGTTTGCTTATTGTTCACGGTCATACAATGGAATGCCAGTGAGCTTTTGTGATGGAAATGAGATCTTTTACGGATTATTTTGTCAGTCCATGATCTTATGTAATCAAATATGTATATGCAGTAGTCTTTTTCAAGCAGTGAAAATTCGTTTATTTCCTCTCTTCCTGCAAAACAAATCAATATATTCTTGCAACCGGGGTTTTCTCACGAATGTGAAACACATGCATGTAATTATGAAACCAGTGTTTAACTAAAGGTCATCCTGATGGTCATTAACTAAGGTTTTCAATCCAGATTTATGAACTTAAAAATCTGGTTTGCTATGATGTTCTTCTTTCACAGCTATTTATAGCATAATCAGTTTATGATATGTCAAGGATCAATACTGGCTTCTATGATGATGTTGCACAAAATGGTTCACTTAAAAACTCTTCTTCTTTTGGCTTTATCATGTTTTACTAAAGTCCACTGCAAATATACATATGGGGTACATGTATATCTTCAGGAAAATCCCAATAAGGAATATTGTCAAAGGCAACACGTGATGCGGCATCTCCATGTATGGGATGTGACTGTGAGACTACGGCACGCACAAGTACCGAACACTGGCTACGGCTCTCCACCGCTGCCTCTTTTGATCAAAATTCGAAGCCGTAGTCGCAGGAGACAGGACCGGATTATGGCTACCCCTGTTATGCAACGCCCCATACAATCCCATGATGTACATGTAACCTAGCCTAGCTAAATAAATTGATACACAGGCAGTGCTGGGTGAGCATACGTAACCAGGTCGAGTTTCGCCCTACTCTCACCTGACGCAGTTTCCTTACATTGATCCTGTTCCTTTCAGCTTTCAAGTTTCATGTACTTTTGCAGACCATTACTTTGTGCTGTCAGCTGTGAGCATAAACAATTCTGACTAGCGCCCTCTTGCGGCCTTATACTTTTGGTTCTCACACTGGTCGCGCCCCGGATTTTACGCGCGGAATTAGAATAAAAAATATGTTGCTTCCTCGCTTTTGTTCTTTTTGCATACCGCACATTGTTTGGGGCATTTTAAGAGTTTTGTTGTTGAGCAAAAATGCGCGAGTTGTTAATTTCGATCCAATGTCGGCCAGAGTTAGCATCTTATTTCTTGCCAGCCTCTGCTGATAACCTTACGTTTCTGGCAGCCTGCAGCTTACGGGGAGGCATGAGCAAGTCGTCCAAATGGTGAGTTGCAGTTTTAAAATACACATACCTGCAGTACACTTTGATTGGTAAACTACTTTCAGTATGCAGATTGTTGATTAATATTTTCCTGAATATCTTTTTTTTTATTGCGCCAGGAGCGTCACTTTTTGGCGGATACCGGCGCATTATAAGTGTTCTCTATTATAATTTTTATTAAATAAATATTTAATCCGTTGCAGGTATACTTTTTACATGCGCACTTTTTAGACGTGTCCAGCTGGGGCCTCTGTGTGGACGTTTTGCCCAGTGGACTCTCGCTGGAAAGCACCCAACACTGTAGTCCCCCGTGGCGTAATGAATTTCATACAATTGCCCAGATATTCAGGGAACAGTCGCCGGAACGCGAGCACTTAGTTTGGTTGGTTCCCGTCCCCTAAGTACAGTCTGCAGACCCCAGTAAATGTACAGTTATGGGGAGCAGTCGTTGCACCGCTCTACAGAACAATGGCGACTTACAGCTCCGACTCTGCAGGTTTACGAGAGGATCGTTTCCCACGAGAAGTGTCTGTTTTCTTCCCAAACGTGAGTGACTGACCAAACCACGAAGATTTGAATTTACTTCAATTCCCACTGAATAAGTAATTTTATGTAGGCCTATATGTATAAACAGTGTAATACTGAGTATCATTAGCCCAGTTGACGTCGTCTACATTGTACACGTACATTGGTCATTGCATTGCGAGTAACGTCGTTAACCTATTTCAATAGGCCTAAACGTCTAGGGGTCCTCCTGCCGTAGCGAAATTTTTCAACCTTTTTTCTCACATCCCGAAATCCCTAAATGCTGTGTTAAAATTACTAATACGCCCACGGACGACGTATTTTGCAGGAAGTTTAGTGCAACTCCATGCTTAATTCCATCGAAGGTTGTGATTTCAATACCTTTTAATCTATTGTGTGGCAATGCCTGACCTCAGGAAGGAGTACGGCTAGGTTGGCAGGTCTGCTGTCAGCGTGTCGGGCATGGCTACCCAGTGCAACGGTACCTCAGGCATTTCCTTTCAAACAGTGAAACAGTCCCGTGGAATGGCCTCTGTTCCGATGGGCACTCACAAGGTTCAAAAGGAACCCTGGAATGGCCAAATGGAACCGTCTTGTTACCGCTTTTGAGATGCTCCCTAATGTAGATATAATCAACCCAGACTAACACATAATAGCGATTGATGAGAAAGGGATAAGTGATACAGAAGCGAACAATAGAAAACCCAAAGGGGGAGGGGGAGTTGCTTGCTACTGTTTATCATAAAATTTATCCTTTAGAACAGAGGAGCCTCTTTTGTTCTGATTGCCATGTGGGGCACAGCTAATGCTCATCGGTCTTGACTTCATAACTCTGTTTTGAGGGCATTGCATTGCCTTTAGATGGTTAGCAGGTGTTTTATAGACCACAGTATTTGTGTTCTTGCAGTTGGATGACGTCCCTTGGGAGAGATCATCTTTTACCACCATGAGTCTGATCAATGAAAGCACCAATGACCATCATCTGCAGGCTCCGCAGTCACAAGCGTTGGTCATTTGCAGCACAGATTTCTCAAAGAAGGGTAATATTCAAAACCAAAGGAGAGACCGAAACAAAGAGAAACGATTTCCTTGTGACATTTGTGGTAAAGCCTTCTCACAGAGATTCATCCTGGTACGACATCGCAGGATCCACACTGGTGAAAAGCCCTTTAAGTGTGAGATTTGTGACAAAGCCTTCTCAGATAAAAGTAACCTTCGTCAACATGCGTGGGTCCATACCAATGAGAAAACAGTTACATGTACTTGCGACATTTGTGACAAAAGCTTCTCAGATGAAAGTAGTTTAGTTCAACATATGAGAGTCCACACCAACGAGAAAACACTTACTTGTGGCGTTTGTGACAAAGGTTTCTCAGATGAAAGTAGCCTGCTTCAACATGCGAGGGTCCACACCAATGAGAAAGCATTTACTTGTGTTGTGTGTGACAAAGGCTTCTCAACAAGAGCTAACCAATTAAAACATACGAGGATGTACCATACAAATGACATGCGGTTTTTTTGTGAAGTGTGTGGCAAAGGCTTCCCACAAAATTGGGGGCTCCATGCTCACATGATGGTCCACTCCAAAAAGAAACCATTTACCTGTGAGGTCTGTGGGAAAGGTTTCTCACATAACTCTTATCTACAAGCTCATTTGAGATTCCACACCAGAGAGAAACCCTTCCCTTGTGGTATTTGTGGCAAAGCCTTTGCAGAGAGAAGCTACCTGCGACGACACACGAGAGTCCACACTAAAGAGAAGCCATTTACTTGTGACATTTGTGGCAGGGGCTTCTCGACGACTGGAAGTCTTAAAGCACACGTTCGAGTCCACACAAAAGAGAAACCATTTCCTTGTGATATCTGTGGCAAAGCCTTTGCTCAAGATTGTAATCTTAAAAGGCACTTGAGTGTCCATAGCAACGAAAAAAGTTTTACTTGTGACATATGTGGCAAAGGCTTCACACGGAAACATACTCTTACAATGCACAACAGGGGCCACGCCGAAGAGAAGCCATTTCCTTGTAAACTCTGTGGTAAAACTTTCACAGTGAATTCTCGTCTTACCAGACACATGAGGGTCCACATCAGCGAAAAATCATTCATTTAGGACAGTTTTGTTGCAAATGCTTCAGACCAAACAGTAATCTCGAAACTAACACTGACAACTAACAGAAATAAAGAGCCATTTACTCGTGACATTTGTGGCAAACGCTTTCTCGGAGAGAATCATCCTGGTACAATGTGAAAGGATCCACACAGGCCAAAAGTCTTAACGTGTGAAATTTATATGAATTAAATGGAGATAACTTGCTGTGACATGTGTGGGTTTATACCAATGAAAAACCGGTTACTTGTGACACTTGTGGCAGAGGATGTTTTCACTGAGGTCCACATCAATGAGAAACCATTTCCTTGTGATTTTGGATAACGAGCTCAGGAGACGACTGTAAACCTGTACATTGTATTTCCACCATCACCTATTAAATGTATTTCATGTAATTTTTTTTACTGTCATGTGAAGTGCCGATATCACTGTTTCATTGCTTCGTAAAAATGCCGGTAAATTGTTCAACACTTCAGTCTTTGTCAGCCGTCCAAACCTAGCATGTTGCCATATGTTGTTTGAAGAATATGCGTGCGGAGATGTTTACATAAACTTTGAAAAAAAAAAATCGAATTTAACACTGTCAGTGGCTGTTTTGTCATAGTGCTATACGGTCGTTTCATGATAGTGCGCCACTAAGAGTTTGCAACGCGTTGGCCAATCACAATGCGCGAAATTTGTCGGCGCTATACGCGTTTGGAAAGGGTCGACAAATTTTGCGCGTTATGATTGGCCAACGGGTTGCAAACTCTTGGTGGCGCACTATTGTGAATCGCCCGTATTGCAGAAGAAACCAACAATTGTCATTTTGAATGTTGTGGAGACAGCTTAAGTTTTACACCGAAAATGCCAGTAGCACCTTCAGGCCACAGATTCTCTCCTTCCAATATGTTCACACACGGTCACGGATGGATAAACAATCATTCTTTCTGGACATTGAGACAAATAGGGCTGGGGATCAAGTTGCAGTTGGACATGCCAGCACGCATGGAAATCCTATTGAGTTATCCCTCCCTCCTGTTTGTAATGAACAGACCAGATGTGTTATTAATGATGTGCAATAGTGACATGGTGGCGACCTATGTGATGTATTTGTACTGCCATCTCCCTTGAACACCTCGTGTCTGAATAAATTCAGGGTCGAGAGCCATTTTACTGGATTCTGGCTTCAATAATATTCAGTACGTGAAGGGTTCAATCATATGTACTTTCTTGGAATACTGTAATGCACTTCATATTTAATCTTTAAATTTTGGGTACAAGCGAACTTAGTCATCACCGATTCTCTCTTCTCTGTAGTCAACCGAACAATCTTGGACAGTGACTTTATGAGCAAACTACGTAGGCCAACTACACATGCTTTTTGTATAGTCCTACAACCTATACAAAATAAATAATTGTGACCATCAAGAGATATAATAATTTATCTGACTGCATTATGAACCGAACAAGAAAAGTGTTGTATACATGTATATACCTGCGACACGGGGGCAGGGAATTGGGACATACGTGTATTTCACTTGGTCACACAACCCAGGCTCAAATAAGCATACATATATATATACATAGATCTGAAGGATGCTTGCAACCTCTTTTGGGAACGGAATCAGTGGAGGGGGCACTCCAGCCCAAGCTCTCCAAAAAGGGGGGTGGCAAAATGCTTGTCTTTAATTATAAGTATAAAGGATGTAAATGTATTTCTCTGGGTGATCCAGTTTTGCGTCACAAACTGTGTAATTTTCAAATGAATCTTGCGGGACAAAAGCAACCATCTCAGATGGAGGTTGAAGTACCCGCCCATCAGAACCGCATAATACGTGATTGCACTTCTGTGAATCCTTCACGTGTGAAGACTTTGGCACAAGTATTCATGTTATTGTATCTAACTATTATGACTCTGAACAATGTAATCACCTGTTGAAAGTAACGAAAGGAATAATTTTTTTCATGAACATTAATACTGTAGAAATGAAGTTTTTCTCTTTCTGCTACTAACCATTTCATAACTGGACTCTGACTTGGCTTGGACTTGACAATTCGGACTCATCTGGACTTGGACAAAATAGGACTCAGACATGGCTCGGACCTTCATAAACTCGGCTCCAATGAACTACATCACTGAGTTTATTGGGAACTTCAGATGGCAGAGGCCAAATTTTCGTTGGCAGCAGCGTCTAGGTTCACAAAAGATCCCAGAGCAATGAGAAACAAATGTACTTGTTGCATCTGCTTGATGAGGAGGCGACTAAAATAATTGAACCATCATCTGCCAGATAGTGGAAGGTATTCAATTTGGACTACCTCGTCGACCATTATGAAACCAGACAACCGGGGCGGAGGGTTTTATATTGTTAAAATATCTTTCAAGCAGGTCCTCCAAATGGAAGAGGGGTTCCGCCTCATCGCCCCCACCCCCCAAAAAAGAGCACAACAATTTTTTTCAATTATGAAAAGATGTAATCTGGCAGTTGACAGGCATCCGTTTTCAACTTTTGCCTGAAGTGTAAATAAATGCTTAATCCGTCGCATGTATAATTATTTGCTTTACTTATACAGACGTGTTCAGCTGGTTAACACCTAATACTGACGTCTTCTACCATTCATGAAACAGTCGTCGGTATGCGAGTACTTCGTTTGATTGGTTCCCGATCCCTACATAGTCCCCAGACGTCAGTGATGTTTGGGGCCGGTCGAGTCAATGAGCGCCGCGCGTACTTACACGTACGAAGCATAGGACAACGCTAATGCAAGCTGCTGCTCGACACTGTAGCTTTTCACCAGGGTCGGGTCGTTTCCCCACTTCAAGGAGAAATTTCAGTTTTCTGTCTAAACGTAAGTGAATCTACCCACGAATATCTGAATCTTTAATTCGGAAAGAGTTCCATAAACGGACGCCGCTTGACAC